GATCCCTAACCTGGATAATGTCTGCGTCATAGTCGTTGACGAGTGTCAAGTAATCGACCTTCTCAGCCATCACTTGACAACGTCTCTCAACGTCTCTCATCTCCTCCATCACAGCAACATCCCACCACTTGTGAATATGCATTTCTCCATCATCCACATTTGGACATGTGAAGAACCTGCATTACATAGAACAAATTTAGAACATATATACGCAAACATAGGCGAAGATCAGAGCATAACTAAAGGCGTCTAGCATTGAACAAACCTTCTGTTGTAGCAGCTGGACATGAAAGGCTGAGCACCACAGTAACAAACCTTGGGGAAGCCATGCTCAACCTCAGGCTGAGGTGGGTATTGTCTCGGCTCATCGAAGAACATGTTCTGTTGATCCATTTGGATCAACGCTTCAATTTCTCTATCCTCGATGTCTTCTGATGAGTAGGACCAGTTCTGATCAGAAGAATCTGGCTGAGAGTAGCTATAGTCTTGCCCCATTAAAAATCTTCCTAAGTTAACCTGCATGAAAAAGAAGAAAAATCAGATAACATAACACGAGACATGGAGCTACAAAGACAGACATGGAAATACAAAGCAATTTAGCAAGACAGCATATTAGTAAAACTTAGATTGATAAGCTCAGAAACAGAACATGGAGCTACATAGATTGAGTCTAAAACATGGAAATACAAAGATAGCTTCAGAAATAAAACTTAAACAAAACTAACATCAAAGACAGACACTTAAGGACAACAATTTAAACTTAAACAGATATGCAAGATAGCTTCTTCAGTCACATTCAAGATAGCTTCAGAAATACTGGGACACTATCGTCTTCATGATAGCTTCTTCAGTCACATTCAAGGGGTCCTTCTTGGCTAAAAGAGTGTCTAGGATGGCCAGCTTTTGTAGTTTCTCCGCTTCAGCCATTTCCTCTTTCTTTATGTCCCACATACTCGAATACTCAGCGAGAGCCTTCATGTTTGTGGCTTGAGCATTGATCCTCTTTGCCTTTGCAGCCTTGATCCCTTCTGGCCTTTTCTCACTATCCTCGACGTTGCTGCTCGATGCTTCTGAGACTTGAGCTTGTTTCCTCTTTCATGGAGGCGTGTTAATGGTGTTAAGGCTGAGCCACTTCTGCTCAAACCTTAACAGACGCCAACAATGCTCAAGGTTGAACCTCTTTCGATGGTCAGCAAAATATATGGCATGTGCAGCCGTTAGGACATCATTCTCGGAATGACCAGAGCCATTAAGTCTCTCTGCAGCTGCCATTGCCCCACATAATTTGTTTGTTTGTTCGTTTATCTTGTGCCACCTCTTCTTGCAGTGTGTCATCCCCATCTTTTCACCACCATTAATGGCATGAGGCGAGTCTGCATAGTATTGCCCTATCTTCTGCCAGAAGCATCCTCCCTTTTGCTGATTTCCCACAATGTTGTCCTTCGAAGTGTTGAGCCATGCCGAGATCAGGACTTCATCATCTGCAGGTCCCCAAGACTTCCTCGATGAGCGCTCCACTGGTGTCTGCTCCACTGGTGTCTCTTGTGAAAGAGGAGTTGACTGAGAAGGTTGGGAGCTAAAAAATGGCATTTGGGAGCTATTCTGTGAACAAGGTGGAAAACTTTCAAAACCAAAGTTTCCACCTTGTTCTTGGCTGTTAAGGAGGTTAAGGTACGAAGAGCTTTGATAGTAAGGATTCGTATGATCCATTATCTCAGATGGATGGGGTTATAGACTTTTTAAGAAAGATGAGTTATAGAATCTGATGGAAAAAGAAGGAAGATGGATGGGGTTTAATAAGTGAAAAGGGAACTTGCAGTAATAAGTTCCCTTTACTATTAGCTAACAACCAAGTCTAATCACAATTTACGCCAACCACATTCACAAAAGTCTATGAGCCACTTCTGGATAGCTCAGCCTATTACAAGGTATTTATTGCAAACTACAACTCACAGAGTCATGGTTTATTAGTTCTAGTAGCTAAATCACAACGAAACCCTAAAATCGCAAAACAGATGGGACGGCCACATACCTTCTTCGCGCTATTGGAACGGTCGGAACGACACCAGATGCTCCAATCGAAGAAAACGACTGACGATATCGACCAGAGGAGGCAAATCGCCGGCTAATCTACTGGTTTCTACGGAGAAGACACAGTCGCCCTCGGAGTCGCCGTCGAGAGAGAAGAGAGTAAAAGAAACCCTATTTTCGCGAAAATGAAAACGGTTGCGTTCAACTCCTGGAGCTCTCCCACTCACAATCCGACGCGTGGCAAAGTGGACGACACAAATTCGTCCCCGTTTAGGGAACGTGGACTTCATTTTAATTTCTTTTTCATTTAAATTTCGAAAAAAAAACGTAAGGACGAGGCGAATCTACGCCGTTGTACATGCTCTTAGAATACAATTTGAAACTCAAGACATTTTCAACAAAACGAATATATAATTAGTATTATATTCCTTTTTCTAGTGGAATAAATCTACAAGAGGAAAAACAAAACACGTTATGGGTTGGCTAGAATCGACTGCTTATATATAGTAAACATATAATAAAAATGTTCATGTAGGTGTGTCTGTTGTTTTTTTCCTTTGCTATTGGAAACTTCTTTCTAGTGGAGACGTTTAGGATTCAAAACCGGATCCTGGTTTCATTTCTTCTTGTTCTGTTTTTCTTTATATGCTCTATATTAATCAGAACACTCAAAACGACACAGCTTTGATGAAACAGAGAATGGGCCGCGAAGAAGTGAAGCCCACGCAGAAAGGAAGTGATAAAGGAGCGATGCCCAAGAAGAAAGAAAACCCAAGTGTTTCAGATTTGCCCGCGCAAGTGTTGAGTTCAAAAGGACTTAAAGACAAAACAATGGTGACGCAAGAGTGCAGAGAAAGTTATGGGGTGAAGAAGTACAATCGATTTTCAGCCCTTGATTCATTAGAGGAGTAGGATTGTTCCAGCTGGCTAGGAGACTAGGGTTTTCGTTTCTACTCTATAAATATGCTCCTTTGTAACTTGTAGATCTCAAGTTGAATGAAATGAAAGTTTAAGTAAAACAAATTCATCTTCTTCATTTCGTTAATTTATTTACTCTAACTGTTTTGCATCGAGTCCAAACGATGACGTTAATGTAGATTCGGGGTCCAAGCAAGAACGGGTTAAAGCCCGGGTCGGGTTGGTTTTGAATTTGGGTTCCTTGGAGGGAAAGATTGTGGGAAGCTCTGTTTCCTTGGCTCTCTCTGATTTCTACGCCGTCAACAGTGCAGTTAGAAACTCTCAAGGAGAGCCTATCCTTGCTCTTGCTTCTGGTAACATACTCCACTTTTCCACCTTCTTCTTTATTTTCTGTCTCCATTCACTCATAATCTACATATGTTCTGTCTTCGTGAATGAAACATCTGTTGATCTGCTGCAAACTTTAGGAGTGGATTGGCGGGAATTCTTTACAGGAAAGCTAGCTTTTGGCTGAGATTGGGGAGCAAGCTAGGGTTCCTGTGATTTCACTCAACTCTCCCATTTCACTCTCGCTGAGAAAATACAGTCATTTGAATATTTGATCCAAGCAACGCATGATACTTCATCTGAGGCGAAGGGCATAACAGCTTTCATCCATGGGTTTGACTCGATCATTTGCTAACGCAAGGAAAAACATTGACTTTCACCTCAGATATAATACATGTAATTTTTAATGGTTAATTTGAAATCATTATCAAATTAAACAAATTTAATTTACATTTCACTCCGTGCAGTACGCAGATTATGATCTAGTTTTTAGGAGGGTCATTTCACTCCGCGCAATACACAGATTATCACCTAGTTCTTAGTGTAAAAGGCCCAACAAGGCAAAAATGGTAGTGTAAACAGTAATATAGATAGGCACTAAACATTAGTGGTGTTGCACAAAAAAGAGTCGTTTTAGCCACTGACTAGTGACTAGGCGTTCGCTTGGACGTCATATTAGATTTAAACGAAATAATCTTTACAAAAGAAGTTTTATAGAAAACTGATTTAGACACACCTAAACAATAATCTCCTATGTTTACTGATTTCTTGAAAATTGTTGAATTATTTTCAAGACCCGTCCATACCAAGTCCATTAAAAAGCTAATTAGTGTAATTGCGATTAATAAGATCATAAACATTCTTCTTAGTTTGATAACATCTTACTGTCAGATTTAATTAAGAGCTAAGTAGCCGCTTAGAAACACGATTAACAAGTCAAGGTTAATAAGTCAATACCAAAGAAAACTACATTTGTTTTTTACAACCGTTGACAAATATTTTTGTTGCTAACGTTGATATCCGTTTAACGATTTTTTATACTAAAAACATCCTCATTTTCCTTACTTTCCTTTGACTAAAACATTAGAAAAATACAATTGAACTCCTTAAAATAATGATCTGAGTGACCAACGAGTAGCCAACCTCGAAATACAATTTGAAACTTTGGAATGTTTCAACTATAAGAATATAATTTGTATTATATTCCTTTTTCTGGTGGAATAAATAAATCTACAAGAGGAAAAACAAAACACGTTATGGGTTGGCTAGAATCGCCTGTCTGGTAATATATAGTAGACGTGTGTGTGTGTGTTTCCCCTTTGCAATTGGAAACTTCTTTATAATGGAGAGGTTTGGGATTCACAACAGAAACCTGGTTTCATTTCTTCTGCTTCTCTTAATCTTCAACAGTTTTGCTTCCGACCAAAATGAGGACGTTAATGAAGGCTCTGTGTCTGAGCAAGAACGGGTAAGTGTTCGGGTCGGGTTGGTTTTAAATTTGAGTTCCGTGGAGGGAAAGATAGCGGAAAGCTCTGTTTCCTTGGCGCTTTTTGGTTTCTACACCATTAACAGTAATTACAAAACAAGAGTCTCTCTCTCAGTCAGAAACTCCAAAGGAGAGCCTCTTCTTGCTCTCGCTTCAGGTAACATACTTCATTCTTCCTTCTTCTCTGTTTCCATTCACTCACAATCTGAATATGTTTTGTCCTCGCGAATGAAAACAGCTGTTGACCTTCTGCAAACTGTTGGAGTGGAGGCGATTATCTGCGGGAATTCGCTGCAGGAAACGAAGCTTTTGGCAGAGATTGGGGAGAAAGCTGGGGTTCCTGTGATTTCACTTAATTCTCCTGCTTCATTGTCATTGCGCAAATACAGTAATCTGATCCAAGTAACGCATGATTCTTCCTCCGAGGCAAGGGGCATTACAGCTTTCATCCATGGGTTTGAGTGGAACAGTGTTGCTCTTGTTTATGAGGATGAAGATGACTGGAGAGAGAGTATGCAGCTCATGGTGGACCATTTCCATGAGAATGGCGTTTGTATACAATCCAAGGTTGGTTTTACAGTGTCTTCAAATGAGGAGGTTATGATGGATCAGTTAAGGAAGTTGAAGGACTTGGGAACAACTGTCTTTGTGGTGCACTTATCTGAGCTTGTTGCAACTCATCTCTTCCCATGTGCTGAGAAATTAGGTATGATGGGTGAAGGGTTTGCTTGGATCCTCACTGTTAAAAGCATGAACAGCTTCCATGAGAGGACTGGTCACCATTTTGCAAAAGAAGCAATGGAAGGTGTGGTTGGTTTTAGGTCTTACATTCCAATGTCAAAAGAGCTTCAGAACTTCACTTCAAGATGGAGAAAATCACTAGCTTTTGAAGAAACTGCTGAGTTTGAGATAACTAGTCTGAGCATCTCCGGCGTATGGGCTCATGATGTAGCGTGGGCACTAGCGAGAGCAGCTGAAGTCACAAGGATGCCAAATATGTCATCAACTCTTCTTGAGGCAATCACAAATTGTAGGTTTAAGGGTTTGAGTGGTAACTTCCAAATCAAGGATAAGAATTACTTGTCAGACAAGTTTGAAATTGTGAACTTGATAGGGTCAGGTGAGAGAAGGGTAGGATTCTGGAATTCTAATGGTAGTTTCAGCAATAGAAGACATTTGTCTTCTTCTAATAATAACAATCTAGAGACCATAATCTGGCCCGGTATGTCATCTGAAAGTCCGAAAGGGCACACACTAGGAGAAAGCAAGAGAAAAAAACTAAGGGTATTGCTTACATCTAGCAATAGGTTCCCAAAGCTGGTGAGTTGGATGACTGATCCGGTAACAAAAAAAATAATTGCTGATGGGTTCTGTATACAAGTTTTCAATGCTTCCATTAGGCATTTTAACTATGATGTGGAGTATGTACTTTGGACTGGTGGTCCTAACTACGACAATCTTGCATATACACTTAGTAGCCAGGTACCAACCTTGGCTCTCAGTTTATGATCACAAATATTTTTATGTAGAATGTGTAGAAATTTTCAACCACCTTTATTGATCCCACAGAAAGATATATATGATATGGCCGTGGGAGATATTACAATCACTTCCAATAGATCGAGTTATGTTGATTTTACAATACCATTCACTGAACTGGGTCTTGGAATGGTGGCACCAAAGCAGAGTGGTATGTGGGTGTTCTTTCAACCTTTGACACCGGATCTTTGGATGACAAGTGCAGCTTTCTTTGTCTTGACGGGTATTATAGTTTGGTTGATAGAAAGACCTGAAAACACTGAGTTCCAGGGATCTTGGTCACAACAGATTGGAGTTATGCTTTGGTTTGGCTTCTCTACCCTTGTTTATGCTCACAGTAAGTACATTTTTCACATTAAATTCTTGTATATGCCAATAGTATGGTCAGAAGAGATTGAAGTGATGCTTTAAATTAGTTTTTCACCTTAAACATTTTGGGGTTATAGACAATTTTGTAAGGATTTATATAATCATTTAAACAAATTTGGAAACCTATATATATATATATATATATATATATATATATATATATAT